ATTTATTTACTCTTCATCAAAAAAAATTCAAAGTATAAAAAAAGAGGAACCCAACCAATAACGAACACTAAGAAGTTCAAAGATGAGGATTTCGAATCTGATACGAGCCTCTTTTTGAATGTCAACTGCTGTTTTTGGGCCGCAGTTCGCCATACAAAAGCTGTCACAAGAGTACTGAACTATGGGCAAAACTTCATCCCAGGCGGGACTGGAACTCGCATCTCTCGCTATCGAACAAGTGTGCTACCACTGACACAACTGGGGCAGTATTTCAGCATCAAAATAAGCAGTCAGAAGCAGAGTCAATGTGAAAGGCGTTCCAATAGTCGAAGCGGTACCACATTTGTCCTGAAAACGAGCACTGAGTGTTCGAATCCCACCTGGGGCATAGGGTTAGGCCCATGAGCCGGCATTCAGCGAGGAGGTAAGCAAACCAGCCCGTTTGGCGTTTCTGCGGGGCCGCGTTCTGAATGTTGGGGAGGAGATAGGGGGTCCGAGGTCAACGTACTGCTTGAACCCGGCCTGTACGGTAGGAGAGTCACGACGCAAGTTGAACAGCTACGTTAAAGCTCCGCCAAAAGGCTTGGTTCGGTTAACTCAGGACTAAGCCTTGGAGAGAGGACGGACCTGCGTTCTCTAGCAGGTTCGTCCTCTCTCAAAGGCTTAGTCCTAAGGTAAGCATCAAATTAGGCGGTTTAAGGGACCGAATTGAAGTAGTCCGTCGACCGCCGGGGACCCTATAGCCTCCTCAACAATCAGCAAACGGCCGCAGCAGAAACGCCAAACAGGCTTACCCCTTCAGCGAATGCCAAATTTTCTTACTATTAATTGATATGATCAATCGTGTGATATTATTATCTAGTTAATTAAGAAAGAAAAACCATTATGAACAAAATAATTGTTACGGTTCGTTTCGCTCCTTCCTCGGACGCATTCAGGTGCTATATGGCACGGCGCAGATAAGTCTCAACCAATTGATCTTGATTATCCCTTACCCTACGTAGCTAAGTAGTCATCTTCGGCTTTCGATGATATATTTTGGAAATGCTGCTCTAGTAGTGTAAGCGGTAACACACTTGTCCGGAAAACGAGTGATGCGAGTTAGAGCCCCGCTCATGGTGAAGAGTTTTGAACGTACCCCACCTTCTGAGATAACGCTACGAACTGTTCTAAATGACGGGCTGCCGGCCACATGGAAGAGCACCAGCCAAAGGATCGCCTGTGAGCCCAATTATATCATTACATAGTTCTTATATTTAAGCAATATGAATGTTAGGAGAGGGTCCGTAAATTTGAGAACATTCTGAAAAGGCAAGACACCGCTAACCGTGTGACAATTCAATGGTATCGTGAGCGAGTGACGAGAAGGGGAAAGGGGCACCTTCAACAAAATTCAAGGTTACAGTTCACCAATTTCCTATCAAAGCAAAACTGTGAACAATCAGCTCATT